TCAGTTTGCTCATCTACATCCGCATTAGTGGCAGCTACAGTACTACTGAAAGACACAAACAAGTTGACACTTGGATCCCCAACACGAATCAGGAAGAATGTATCCAAGCTCATTTGATTGTCAATGTAGACAGGAGGGCGTGTACGTTCTATCATAATTGACATATTTCCCGGCATCCACTAACTAATTATTGGCTGCCATTCTTTGTACTTCAAATTGAAAACCTCACATAATGTACGTGCCAAATCCGTGTACGTCATGTTTTCCCTAACACGTACACACCGACCATAGCTTCCTTTCTCAGGTTCAAATTTCCATTTTTCTTTTGTTACTATCCAATCACCAACCATAATAAATACTGGAATCTCCATTAACATCATGCATCATAAATTCAGGAGAACTCCATTAAATGCAACTGAGAACAACTTTTATACCTCCAACTAAAAAAAGACTTTGCAACTACACACTTAGTGCACATTGAATCTCCTCATTTAATATTTACTACAGAACAAATATAGAATTAAGAGAGTAATATATCAATTTCCTGCAGTTTTGTATCCAAATCAATTTTGTTTTCATTGAAAGTGTATGTAATAACTAAAATTTATATTTACAACTTCATTACTTACCACGGTCATTGTTTTCTCGCCTGCAAACTTTGTTAAACAACAAGATCAAAATGGCCTCAATCTCATTCCTTCATAGATATTTAGGGGAAGTTTATGTTTTTTCTTATTTCTCTTTACAAAATCTAAACAATGTACGATTTTATGATTTAAGTGGATTAAAATAAGATGTAATGATGAGTTTGCATTGATTATAGTTGGAATGAGTCATGTCTCAACTTTTTCAGCATTTAAACCATTTGTGAAACCATATTTTATTTCTTTTATTCGTTCGCGGTACACTGTATACCCGACAAAAATATTAAAAAACTAAACAACTGTTGCTAACGAGATACTGTGTACGTAACCAACTCGCCTGACGATTTCGTTCGCTGTCGCTGTACACCGGTTCCGCTAGAGGGCATTTTCGTCTGAAATTGACATAATTGTCAATCTGTGAAAGCCTTTCCCCACTTTGTCAAAACCTGAAAGAAAAACATAAAATATGGGCCTGGTCCGTAATTAACCCATAATAATATTAATAATTTGATACGTAATTTATAACGGAATATAGTTATTTTATAATATATCCCTCTCTTTCATTTTAAGTGATGTCTAAAATTTATTCACACAAATTAAAAAATTATAAATTTTATTTAATTTAGTTTTTTGACATAAAAACATCATTAACTATAACTAATTCAACCAAGAAGAAAACATACCGTAAAATAAATTTGGTTAAATATATAAAATATATTTAATTTTTGCATAGAAAATTAAAAAGTATCACTTAAAATAAAATTAAAAAAAAATCTCTAAATATAACCTCAAGTGGTATGAAGGAGTAAGATTATGCAAAATGTTCTTTATAATCTGTTTAATATACTTGATTGGGCCCAAATCCCGATAGGGTTTTCATAAGTATAGAATTTTTATTGGTTAAAGTAACGACATATCTCTTATCTTCTCAATTAATATAAGTTTGAATAAGGTTGAATTTTATTAGAACTAGGGTTAAATTTAGGGTTTTTTTTTTTTGCTTTATAAATACGCTTTATTTAGGTTTCTTTTGCGTCGGCAGTTTTGGAGAGCTTATTTCAACCCTTATAACGTAGAGATTTGCTACGCTCCAGATTCATGGCTCTACCGCAAGGTAACGTTCCAGTTAATGAGAACGAGAAGCTAACAAAGTGTATTACAGATCTACAGGTACAAGTTCAAAATCTTACCGCAACAATTCAAGAGATGAACGTACATCAAGACAGCGACAACGATGATTCAGACATAGATGGTTCAAGTCTTAACAATGAAGAAAACACACAGTGGGAATTAGGGTTCAAGGTTGAGATCCCTAAGTTCCATGGTGGTCTTGATCAAGCAGAAGAACTTCTCGACTGGTTTGTTACAGTTGAAGAAGTGATGGACTTCAAAAAGGTTCCTAATGAACGACGTGTTTCGTTAGTAGCAACATGTTTCCGCGGTCGTGCTGCAGCTTGGTGGAACCAATTGAAAGCTTCACGTGCACGTTCGGGAAACCCTAAAATAGCAACGTGGGAAGAGTTAAAGAAACACTTACGTCAAGGGTTTTTACCTTGCGATTACGATCAGATTTTGTCTCGAAAACTTCAAGATCTACGTCAAGGAAACAAAACGGTGGATGAATATGCAACCGAGTTTTTCGCGATACTTAGTCGGATTGAAGTTCAAGATACAGAAACACAATTGGTTGCAAGGTTTATTGGTGGGCTCAATCCACAACTGCAATGTTCTTTGAAATTGTTTCGGCCTTTAACAGTTTATGGAGCACAAGAACTAGCAAGCATAGTAGAACAACAAGAGCTTGGTTCCGCGGTTGGAACTGTACCCGAACCTTCAAAAAGCCTTGTACGGAATGCAGCCACTATTTCCAAGGATGGAAACGAAACTCTCAAACTAGGTAAGCCAATAACAGTTGCGAGCATTGTTGAATATTTTTGCTTTGGATTTGCTTCAAGTGTAGGTGTAGTTGGATGTTTCGGCCTGATTCTCATCACGGAAAAATTATTGAAAAAAGATTAATATCGATTTTTGAAGTTGGTTATTATTTTTGCTTCGTACGTTTGGAATGATTTTGCAAAGGTGTTGGACCTTTCATATTACGAGTTTTGATTTTATTTTATTATAATAAAAAGATGCTTTATTAGTGAATATATGTTAGAAAGCTTCTTGTTTTGTAGCAATCTCCAATTCTTCTCGATCAGCAGCTTTGCCCTAAAAACAATTGGATTGTAGCTAAAAATATTTCTCTTAAACAAAAATGTATGTTTCTCACGTATTGGCTAGAGAATTGCAAATAATGACAATGGATCGTGAGGTGTAAGCGTATCAAAAGTGCAGCTCGTGCAGAACAAACAAGTCATGTATGGGTGCGTGTAAAATAATAATCAAAGTGTGGCTAATTTCTTTAACAAACTTCAAATAATTGGAATATACTTTTTAGTGTAACTTGTTTGTTTTGCCAAATATGTGGGTCTTGTTTAGACCTATATGGCACTATGGCAGTGGCACATATCTAACACATCTACTCATAGACCTTTCTTGTATTCTTGCCATTAAAAGCTTTTATTAATTGTGGCAAACCATAATTCTAATTGTGTCACTGCTAATGTGTGTCAATTTAACCAGCTCTATTGCTATTTAAAAATACTGTATATGCTTTTTTGTTCGGGAACACGATTAGAGTACATTAAGGTGACAAAAAAAAAAAAAAATGGAAGTACATTTCGCCACAATTAATTTCTTGTTCATTGTGACTTCATCTTTGCCTCAGAGCTTAATACTGCAAAAAGATTATCCCAAATTGGAAAATTAAGTCCTACTTTATTATTTTCTTTAGGAAAATCTTATATTATAATAACAGCACAATATCAAATATTTTTTCTTAAACATGCGAGATACAATGCATCACTTATTTCTTTACCAAATAAGCCAAAAAAGTGTATATATATATATATATATATATATATATCCTATTTTTCATTATTAAAAATGAGTTAAAAATAAAAATATGACAACTAAATCCTTAAATATATATGTAACGCAGGCCGAGTGACATTAAAGATAGTTAACATGCTATTTCAGAGAAAAACACTTATAAAAAATTTAACTTTTAACCAGTAATTCTATATATTCAAAACAATTACTGATCCTATAGTTATAAAAATCAATTAAATTTTACATAACCATCAATTTTATAACCTTCTCAGATCTTTATTAACAAAGAAAACCTAAAAGTTCTATCGAGATAGTGCAAAAAATTCAAAACAAATAAACAAAATAAAAATATAAAAATATATGAAAGTCCTACATACCTGTCACAATCAATTTTGGGGTCAAAAGGCACCACATTAGGAATGGCACATTTTTCCGGCATACCAATAAGTTTTGTGAATCGAGAATCTTTTAGAATTTCCTGAAAACATTTGCAAAGCGCTATACGACCGTAGGTTGTCTCTGCATGTCTGTTTACATCGTTTATAGCATAGCAACAATCTGCATGTAGTAGTCCATTGGCTTGTTGCAAACATGCACTTATCACTTGGCCTTGCGCCATTACACAGTGTCTATCGCCATTCGGGTAACTCAACATTTTAGCATTTAGAATTGGGGATAGAACAACTAATAAACTGATACAAACAACAAATATTGATTTGCTCATGTTTGCTTGATTTTGATTTGGGGTTTTAGGGTGTAATTGGTTCATTTATAAGAAGACATGTTCAAGGTATTAATATGCCTAGATATTTTAGAAATTGAAAGCAAAATTTAATGAATGTTGCTTTTTGCTTAATAAAATACCCCCAAAAATGCTAATAATCCATTTAGTAATTAAAAAAAATCTATTGGATCACAAATGCAATTAATTATTAAGAGATATGGGAAAATCTAACTCAATATTCTTTATCAATAATGATTTTATTTAAATTCTACTCTAGGGTTGATAATTTTCTTAAATTAGTAGAGAAATTCATTGTCAAAAGATAGCTAACGAGTGACGACTAAGAGATATGGAAACAAAATCTAGCACAATAACACTATTGTTGGGGTAATTTTCGGGTTCCAATATAAACTTGATAGTCTGGAGATTTTCAAATCCTATATGGATTTACAAATCAATAAACCAATAACATACCCTAATTTTTTTTACTACTAGTAAGAATGGGGTCAAGTAAAAGGTATCTCAAAATTTAAGGGTACCCTGTCCCGTGCCCATCCCTATGTTGATCCTCAAATTTAAAAGATTGTTCCGCAAGAACAGCATCATATAGAGGTATTGATAGAAAACAATAAGGGGAATAATATATCTAAATTCCACCCAAAATAAAATCATAAGAAAACAAAGTCATGAGATAGTTAAAGTCAAAAAGGATTTGATTTCTAATGATCGGCAACCATTTCAGATATGGTAAAAATGGCTCATGAATGTACCATTTCTCTCCCACGATGAAAATTATGTAAGAAGACTTCTTGCAAGGTGCTCCCGAGCTGTTGCCAATGCTTGAGTTAATGTCTGCAATTCAAAAAGCACAAAATGGTCAAATGCATAATCGATATAAAGACTATCACTTTACTCGAAGTTAGTGTAGTAGTAGTCTCACCTGTTCAGAGAGTGAACCACTTGCTTCTGCGCTTTGCATTGCTACTTTTCCCGCGATAACATTGGCGTCTGTTTCGAGTACCATCCTGAACATGTTTCATAAGACAACGCCAAACATGAATATCACAGAGATAGGAATTCAAATAAGTAAACTCACTATTTCAATTCACCAAAGAATTACACTTAAGTAGAGACTTCATTAAGGAGAGAAATCTATAAACTCTCAATCCATGCCAAACCAAAAGCCTCAACAAATCCAGAATGCCCCTAATGAATTCTCTAAGCTGTTTTTTTAAACTTTAGCCCTCAAGTCTCAACTAACCGACATAAGGTCTGTTCCTGAGTTGGCAAAGCTACATATCCCAGCACCCCTTAGGCTAGCTACAATAGTTCTGAACTAGAGAACGCCTTACCACACGGTCTGAAGTTGTTCACCAATGATCAAACAATAACTTCTCATAGTCTCTATGTACCAGATGTCACTATGTTCGTAATTTAACTCAACTCCATCAGCATATTAGAAAGCTAATTGCTAAGATATGAAGGGCAAGCTGAAGTAAGTAATGTTTTATCTCTACCCACCCATGTTTAAGAGTTACATATAAGTATAACTATTGTGCAAGGCTAAAATGATTTTTCGAAATTAACATAGTCAAAATTGTAGAATAGTATTTGAAAGCATATGTAGCATACCCTTGATCAACCATCTCATCAAGGCACAAAAAGATGAGATCCAAGTTTTCAAGAGCTTCCATCTTTTCAACATTGTTCCTGTAAGGAGAAAGGATGCTCAACGTTAATTCCGTATATCGCTGATCAAGAAAAGGTACATAGTCATTTGTTAAGGTGGGCTAAATACCTCAGAAGTAATGCAACAGCATCAAAAAAGCCTTGAAGAACAGATGATAAGACGAGCTCGTTTTCATTTTCACCTCCCGTAACAAAGAAATGCAGATCCTGGGCAAACTTATAGACAACAATATTATTTTCCAACAGTGTGATCTCCGCTGCAAAAAGTAGACATTGAAAATATATATTAACACACCTACAAGTTGTTTGAAACAGAAAATATGCACATTTGTAATCAGGAAACCCAATAGACAGCCAACAAGCAAATATAACCTGAGCTTACCCATATTTGATATAACATACAGAGAACTACATATTTAGATAATGTGCATGTGTGGAAGTTTCAATTTGGTCTTACCTTCTGTGCGAGCATTGGTTTTAGAGGTCTTCGAGAAGACATATTTTTCAAAAGCTAACTTGGCAGCATTAGTTGTCCAATCATCTGAGTAGTACTTGACAGCCACACGCTTTCCTTCAGAGTCTAGAAGAAGAATGTTCTTTACCAAAGGACAAGAATCCTGTTCATTGTAAATCAGACAGTCAGCATGTAAGAATAAAGAGAGAAGCAGACGCGAGAATCCATAAAAAGATCATGTTATGTTGGACTTCTACAACAGCAATGCAGAAAAAGATCTCCAGTCCAACTACCACCAATCATATGACAGTTTCACGGGGTCCAAAGCCTAAGTTCCTTTAGTATTTGTAGCGGCCAACCAAATAAAAAAGCTATTTCAGTTACTCATCATCTATGGCTTGACCAACTGGACCAATCAAACCTATGGTGGTAAGAAAACTTGGGACAAAAGATGATACAAGCTTTAGTAAATTCAACGGACATACAAAAACATGACACAACAGACAAATGCCTGCTCCAACAGATAGAATCCAAATTATTTTGTATGAACAAACAAATGAAGAAATTGCACAAAAGCAGATCCATAAGCAACTGGAATTTTCTCGGCAGCGAAAGAACGTTTACAGAAATCTACTAGAACTTAAGTTTTAAGACTGTAACAAACCCCAATTATGTTTCCAGATGCGAACAATCTTTGACAATGAGGCATGAGGGTATGAATCTAAGATTGGTCACACTGTCCGAAAACATTCTTACCCACTCAACAAAAGAAACAAGAAAAAGCAATCTTAACATAGTGATTTTAAACACAAACAAAGGAGTTTATCACCAAGAAACATACATGACAGCTTCTCAACTCGTTACACCACAACGCAATGAATTGCATAAGAGTAGCAAACCATAAAATATCTCAAGACTATTAATTTCATTCGGTGAATATGATCCCAGGAGAAACTAGCAAGGCAAACAAATACAGAAAAACAATATACTATTCTCACATTAAACATTATTCAACGAGCTAAGAAATGTACTTACATTAGTCCCTGCCATTGTTGTTGAACCAAGATAAACCTGCAAATAGCGATAAGTTAAGCATTATAAACCACTAAAAACACATACACACAAAAAAAAACCCTTAATCTAAAGAACAAGATTAGCACTGAATACACCAAGATCTAAGAAGATAGTTATAGATCATCAGGTCAGGTCTTGAAATTATGGTTTCTACATAATTCCGAGCAAATCTAAGAAGATAGTTATAGATAAAACTCAAATTCGTTGAAAAAATCGGATCAAATCGACGAGAAAATAAACAGATCTACGAAAACAACGAACCCTAATCGAGAATTAAGATGAGATCTAACGATCAAACACAGATATTTTTCTCCGATCAAAGATTTAACAGAATCAAATTCAAAGAACAGCAACTTAATCACGATCGGACGAAAATATTCGAAGGAACTGAAAAGGAACTCAGAAATCTACCTTGATCACGGTTGAGAGATTAGAGAGAATGATTTTAGATTGTCTCAGAAATTTGGAATCTGAATTGTGAAGAAGATGAGGTCTTTGGGTCACGAGAAAGCTGAAGACGACTCTAATTAAATTTTGACACGTGTGTATAATGACGTGAATTGACGCAACGTTTGTTTGGGGATAATTGGCTAATTAATTGCCTTATTTTTAGGTTAGGAAAAAGTGTATATATGTACATAGATGTATTGCCGGATGGCCGGCGTTTTCAGTGTACTTGGAGGAATTTCAGAGCGACAATGAAGAGTTTTCATCTTCTTCTTTATCTTTAATTTCTCGTAGAGCTAATGTTAAGGCGGATAATCTGGCACGAAAAGTTCGTACAGAACCGCTTCATATCACTTATGTAAACAACATTCCTCAGGAATGGCTCTTTTGAGTTCTAATTAATTTCGGATGAAAAAAAAAAAAAAAAATGTATTGCTTTTGATATGGGAAAATTCCCAAAAAAATAATCCCAACTATTTAATATTTGCTAGAAACAAAATTTAAATTGCCAGAAAAAAATTCAAACTAATTTACTGCTGACAAAACAACACGGACTATTTTTTTTTTAAAGTATCCGTTACGGACGTTAACGCCGTCGTCGACGCCGTTACTATTTTTTGAGAATATTCTTGAAAAAAACCCAAATTATTTAATTTTGCCAGAAAATTATCCGAATTATTTGTTAATTACCAAAAAAATATACAGATCAACATTTGAAAATGCCTTATTTTTTAACTATTTTGAAAATGACTTATTTTTTTAACCAATTGAAAATACTCAATTCCTCCATAGTTGAGAGCCAATTTTCTTTTGGCCATCTAGAAGAATATTTGGGGGAATAAATTTTAAACCGGCGAGAAACAAAATATTCTCGGAATCTGAAGCCCTATGTAAGAGAAGCAAAACGACTGATATTACAAAGCTACAAACAGAAACAGACCAAAACGAACTTTACGATCTCCAAAACTCAACAACACCAATCTCTAAGCCAATTTTGAATCTCAATCCAAACTTTACGATCAGATCTCTACTAAGCTATGAAAATCATAGATCATAATGGCAAAGTGCAAACAATTAAAACTCAAAATCTATCTCATCAAAACTGTGAAGGGCTACAAAATTTTCATCCAGATATCTAGAGGATTGCAATCACTTCTAAGCTCAAGCTCCCATGTTCAAAGAATGTCTTCATTAGTTTTCCTAACTGTAGACCTCAAGAACATTACTCGTTCCACTTTCCTCAACCCTATGTTTTCTTCACAAGCTTTGAACAGAATTCCACTTGCTCTCCAGGTATTTGTTCACTTCTTAGCTTTGCTCTAGCTGATTTCTTCTTGACTCGTTCTTGTTCTCTTTAATGGTTGCTAATTTCTGGTGGAGTTCAAATGGTGATTCCAGAGGTATGCACTGGATGGCATGAAATAAAATGTGTAATAGTAAATCGGAAGGAGGAATAGGATTTCGGAATGTAGACGATTTTAATTCAGCCTTATTAGCAAAACAATTATGGCGGTTGATTACGGTTCCAGATTCTCTTTTCGCGAAGGTTTTTAAAGGACAGTATTTTAGGAAATCCAATCTTTTGGAAAATATAAAATCATACTCTCCATCATATGGATTTGAGAATTTTGTAAATTCCCAATAGAGCTGTCAATGCGAGTTGAAGAAGACGCGAATGTCTGGTTATATTCAGAATTTTGCATAGAGAGTAGTCGGGATTTGAGAATATTGTAAATTAAACCCAACATTTTAAATTAGCTAATTAAACCCAACATTTGAAAATCAAGAAACTCCAACTTTTAATTATATAGTCTCCCGTTTACGCAAAATTAAAATGATTCTGGCTCCGAATGAAGAAAGCGTATCAGGTGGAGGGGATCAAGCAGAACAAAAACGGATCAAGCGGATCAAGCGGATCTGGGGGTACAACTGCAGATCAAGTGGTTCGAACGTTTCAAAATATGTGTTGAATAGTGAAAGCGGATCAGACAGTGCAGATAAAATTTTTATATTATAAAAAATGTTATTCTTAAAATATAACAAATACATAACAAAATATAAAAATTATCGAATTTGAATAAATTTTGTACATAAATTATTTCAAAATGATATATTATTTATATAATATTCTTATCATTAACATTATTTAGTATTTTATAATAACATAATCAAAACCAAGATGTTTATCATACTTACTCTTAGGCCTGGGCATTCGGATTTCGGATCGGATTCGGATCGGATATATTAGGATTCGGATAATTCGGGTATGAGAGTTTATTATCCGTTCGGATTTTATGACTTTTCGGTTCGGTTTCGGTTCGGATATATTCGGATTCGGATAATTTGGATAGGAGAATTTATTATCCGTTCGGATTTTATAAGTCATCGGTTCGGTTTCGGTTCGGATAAAAGTCGGATTCGGATCGGTTTTTGGGGAAAAAAACTGAAAAATTCGTTTAATCTTACTAAAAATTCGTTTAAGTTTGTAAAAATATGTATAATTTTAACAAATATAACTAAAAAATTTCCGAAATCTAGGTTATTTAGGATATTTTTGTTATTTGCTATAAAATTACAACTAAATCTAACTAATATTTTTAGATATATAATTTTATTTTCGGTTTTCGGATATCCTTTCGGTTTTCGGTTCGGATCGGGTTCGGTTCGGGTAATTCAAATAGGAGAATTCATTATCCGTTCGGATTTTATGACTATTCGGTTCGGGTTCGGTTCCGGATTTTTCGGATCGGTTTCGGATCGGTTTTCGGATTTCGGGTTTTATGCCCAGCCCTACTTACTCTAGATTGCATATCACTATTTTCAAATTAAAATAAATTATATTAAAATTGCTATATTTTTCTCATATGTAAATTTTTAATTTAGTGTCTAATGTATGAATAGAGAGAATGTGATGTTTATTGAGATTACAAGGTACCGTTTATATACACAAAAATATGATATTTTAGACAAGATTACAAACAAGAATTAACGGATGGTCGGCAAAATTTTTATCGAAAGGTGGGAAAGAAGTGATGATTAAATCGGTAGCTACAGCATTACCAACTTATGTTATGTCATGCTTCAGACTGCCAAAAACAATCACTTCTAAGCTCAAGCTCCCATGTTCAAAGAATGCATTTATCAGTTTTCCTAACTGTAGACCTCAAGAACATTACTCGTTCCACTTTCCTCAACCCTATGTTTTTTTCACAAGCTTTGAACAGAATTCCACTTGCTCTCCAGGTATTTGTTCACTTCTTAGCTTTGCTCTAGCTGATTTCTTCTTGACTCGTTCTTGTTCTCTTTAATGGTTGCTAATTTCTGGTGGAGTTCAAATGGTGATTCCAGAGGTATGCACTGGATGGCATGAAATAAAATGTGTAATAGTAAATCGGAAGGAGGAATAAGATTTCGGAATGTAGACGATTTTAATTCAACCTTATTAGCAAAACAATTATGGCGGTTGATTACGGTTCCAGATTCTCTTTTCGCGAAGGTTTTTAAAGGACAGTATTTTAGGAAATCCAATCTTTTGAAAAATATAAAATCATACTCTCCATCATATGGATGGCGGAGTATATGTTCAGGTAGATCTCTGGTTAATAAAAGACTTATTAAAAGAGTCGGATCTGGGACATCCATCTCAGTTTGGGAGGATCCCTGGATTCCAGCTCAATTCCCGTGACCAGCAAAAAGTAATGGTTCAATTGTTGACCCATCTTTAAAAGTTCACAATCTTATAGATAGTCGGTCAAACTTTTGGAATATTGATCTCTTACAGACGATCTTTGATCCAGAAGATGTCGCGCTAATAAGTGCCCTACCTGTGGATTCGCCAACTAAGGAAGATACTCTGGATTGGCATTTTACAAAATCCGGAAAATATACAGTCAAATCGGGATATTATACCACACGGAAAGAAAAGTCGGAGACCAATTTATCTTTTATTGGCCCAGACATCAAACCGCTAATAGCATACTCTTGCAAGTGTAGTGTCCACCTAAGGTACGCCATTTCTTGTGGCAAATCTTAACGGGTTGTGTACCGGTTACAGAGAATTTGCGGAAAAGAGGAATTGATTGTGACACAGGATGTGCCAGATGTGGCGCATCAAAGGAAACGATCAATCATACACTCTTTCAGTGCCACCCGGCAAGACAGATTTGGGCGCCTTCACAGATTCCAACGGCTATGGGGAATTTTCCCACGGAATCTATTTTTGCGAATTTGGATCACTTATTTTGGAGGATACCTTCGGAGTTCAATTCATCAGCTTTTCCATGGATCATCTGGTATATTTGAAAAGCAAGAAATGAAAAAATCTTTGAAAATATAGACAAAGACCCGTTAGAGGTATTACGGTTAGCGGAAAAAGAGGCACAATTGTGGCAGTCAGCTCAAATCGAGCTTCATAATGAAAATCATAGTTTTGTGGATTTGGTAACTTGATCTCGAGTGAGGGATGTTTCACTTGTTTCGAATTATTCTGGATACCGTTGTATTGTGGTTGGATCGTGGAAAGAAAGTGATAAGTTCTCCGGTACTGGGTGGTTCTGTACATCATCAAATGGAGAGCCGCCAACCATGAGAGCTGCCAACCTCCGTAGAAGTCTATCTCCACTACATACAGAAGTCGAGGCCCTTTTCTGGGCGATGAAGTGTATGATTGGTGCAGATAATCAAGAGGTGGCGTTCTTTAAAGACTGTTCTGATCTGGTGAAGATGGTGTCTTATCCAACCGAAAGGCCGGCGCTTTCAGTGTATTTGGAGGAAATTTAGAGCGACAAGGAAGAGTTCTCAACTTTCTCTTTATTTTTAATTTCTCGTAGTGCTAATGTTAAAGCAGCTAATGTGGCACAAAAAGTTCGTATAGAATCGCTTCATATCACATATGTAAACAACATTCCTTATGAATGGCTCTTTTGAGCTCTAAGTAGTTTCGGATGACAAAAAAAAAATGATATCGTAGACTTAAACTAATTTAATAATTTTTTTCTATTATAATAAGAATATTTGTTTATTTTCAGTATCATATAATTTGATTCTGAAAATAATTGCATAAAGAATATGTA